ATTACTTTTCGTAGCTAATCGTTAGGCGCAGGGAATCTCATTATCACTGGACTGTATGTGTTTGAGAGCACTCTCTCTCTCTCTCTCTCTCTCGATAACAATCACATGGAGTTTGAAAAAAATTAATTCATTGTATATTTTCTAAATACTGATTAAAAACAATTAATCGATAAATTTTTACTCTTTGTCAGAATTTTAATTAAGTATTTCAATGCGATTATTACATAGTAAACATAATAACATGTTGTATTTTGCTATATTTAATTAAAATATTTTAATTGTTTTATTTTAAATTAAAATATTGAGATTTTTCAATGGGATAACATTTCATGACAAATAGTTAATGAAATTTTTGTATATAATTATAACTTATATAAATATTTAAATACTAATTACAATACAATGTACGTATGTATGTTTGTATAGCGACTGATAAGACTATGACATTTTAAACTATATCATGTTGAATAGACATTATTTGTAAATGGATATTACGTTTGTATAAATTTACTTAATAAAAGGGGTTAACAATAACGAGGATTAATATTTATGTAAATATCATATCAATGTAGTATCAGTGGGCGAATCCCCTTATAATACTACAATATTATATACAATAATTCAGTGATATTTGTCTATAAATTGCAAATAATATAAAGCAATAAATCCCACACACAAAAATACCATCAATATAAATTTGTATAACTAATGTATGTAATATCCTGTTGGGTAATATTAACCTATGGCTATAGGAATTGATAATTATTTATTAACAATTTCAAAATTAGAGAAATAATTAAATCATTATTATTTATAAGTTATTTTCAATAACACAGTACACTATTAACAAAATGTGCATGTAAATTAATAATAAAAACAATCAAACCTAACATTAAATAATATTATCGTATAATCATAATATAATTACTAAATCATTTTTTACATCAAGGTATACATTGGTACACGAGAGAGAGAGAGAGAGAGAATGAATGTGTGAACGACTTGTGAATACGTTATTTGACAGGAATTGGTAGGCATTTGATATATTATGTGACACAACCTATTGATTAGCCTTCAATTCATTCACTCGTAGCCGAGTATTACATGTATTACTTTTCGTAGCTAATCGTTAGGCGCAGGGAATCTCATTATCACTGGACTGTATGTGTTTGAGAGCTCTCTCTCTCTCTCTCTCTCTCATTATGATGTCTCTCTAATATACAGTAGACATTCATACGCTAAATACAGGGTATATACTAAAGCGGATAACCATAGAGTTAATTACAATAAAAATGACAGAGAGAGAGAGAGAGAGAGATTTAACTACGCTATCATTAATAGAAATGCCATTTCTCTATGATTTTGCTAATAATTTGTTGCCATAAATCTTAAGGCAATTTCATATCTCTATTGTTTTTCAGACGAAATCAAATATTATATTAGTCTATATATAGACAAGAATATTCTGTATATAATATATAACTATATAATATCAGTCAAATAAATTGTCGGGAAAGAATATTCCTTGTGCAACGAAAATTGTATCTAGATAATAAAACAATTTCTTATCTATTTTATAGCCAATTCACTAATTACAACATTAACTGGTAATGCAATTAGTCAGAGAAAACGCTAAATTACATTGTGGTAAATAACAATTTGTATTTGTTATCAAGCATGGTTGATGATTTGTAATCAGGCACATTTATTTTGTTGCATGTATGTAAACACATTTATATCAATAAGAATGCCACCCACACACAAACATATACAATCTCGATCATAACAATATACACATATTTTCTACAGTTTATTCTGCTTTAAAGGCACAGAATATTCTGTTTTGTTAACCAAATAAATAAACTCTTTTTTGAGGCAAATATTTCATTCATAAGTAAATAATAAAAATATTTTGTAAATATAATTAATAATAAATATATTTTTATTGTTACATTGTTGAGATTTTAATAGTTCATATATAAAAATATATAATGTAGGGCATACAGTATATCTAAAATAAATGACCTAGCGCAACAAAAGTACAGGCAATAAATTTGTGAGCAAATTATACTCTCGGTTGAGTTAGTAGTGAATGAGTGCTCAATTGAATTGAATGTTAAACACAATCGGATAGAAAATAAAATACAAATAAAATATATATCGTATACATTCATATACATGGCGTTCACGGCTATTGTGTTTTTCTAGTTTTTTGAATGGGTTTAAGTCGACTGTAATGTAATTTATGTCGTTTAATAGAGAGAGAGCGAGAGAGAGAGAGAGAGAGAGAGAGAGAGCATAAGAGATAGATCGTGGTCTAAATGTAAGGCTTAACTGCAATTCAAAAGGCAATTCTGGCGATACTTTACGAGAGTTTTTTTTGCTGTCGTTCTTTAGGGCAATCAAAATATACGGCTAAAGAATATTCTTTAACTTTGTTTACGATTCTGTAGATAATAGCAATCTATTCGGATATGCAGTGTATAAAAAATACTATCAGTAATTTGTTTGCCGGCTATTTATCCCCGATTCTAATCAAAGTACTTTTCTGTCAAAAACAATAATATAAATTTGTTTTTATCATATAATTTATTGATTGAGTTTATGGCAGAGAGAGAGAGAGAGAGAGAGAGAGAGAGAGAATAGGAGAGACTGGACGAGATAATTATGTATTTGACAGCTTTTCTATCACATACTGTCTTATAGTCTGTGAGTTAAATACATGTATTATTTTGTAGTTAAAAAATAAAAGTAAAATGATTTTTCTCTGACACACAAATTACATGAAATTATTTAACGCAATATATTTGCCTCGATATTAAATTATGACATTTATATGTGAATGAGTGTTAGTTATTAGTGTAGAATTTGATTAGGCTACTTTGTTATGTCATCACTTGATTTAGTTTTAGTTTATTATATATTTTTAAGTCAGTATTTTATTGATATGTACTATTGTTTTAAATGATGATAGATTATAGTGAAAACTATATACACTGGGAATTGATTTTATACGTGAAATCTATTCTCGAGAGAGAGAGAGAGAATTGCTATGTAGATATTTATGGAATTTATTAGTTATTTACTTTAGTACTATTATTACAAAAATTAATTATGCTTATTTACCTGAGAGAGAGAGAGAGAGAGAGAGAGAGAGAGTTTGTGACTGGAGGGGATTGGATGCCGTGTGCTTAATGACAATAATCATCATATATCACGAGTAATTTGAGAATTTATATAAATTGTCTTATGGTAATTTTGTCAATTTTAATAAGATTTTTAATTTATAAGTAATTTAAAATTATGATCATTATAATGAATCTCTCTCTCTCTCTCCCCTCTCACTCTCACTATATCTAATACAAAATTAATTCAAAAATTATTTAAATATATTTTCATCTAAAAATTAATTTCCATAAAGAAAGCATTGATTCAATAAAATAATAATCACATAAAAAATCAATGGTTTTTAATATAAAAATAAACAGAAATTTTTACCCAAACGTATTGCCAATAAATACCACAATTTATAGGCAGAAAAAACTATGATGATAATTGAAAAATCAATAAAACAATCTATTTCACTTCACTTTAATATTTTACACCAACACCCATTTCCCCTCTCCAACTCACGCCGGTAAATAAAAAACAATTCAAAAATCAATAGTGTATTAAACTTTAAAAAATAAATACAATAAAATTTTTACAGATATTTTTACACACATAGTTTAATTATTTAGATAACACATAACATGCCTAATAATTTTTATTAATTAACTCTAGTATTTGTCGGTATTAATCATGTTTGTCAATTAATTTGGGAAATGTGATAATGCTATGTAAATGTTTAAAGTTTATCATAATTTATTTTACTCAATTTTTACCATAATGTAAATTAACCGGAATTTTGAGTGTATTTTCTCATTTTCACATATATTTATTTATTATATGTTATGAAAACACTTGTCCGGAAAAATGCATTATTAAATCGATCATGAAAATAATTTTATTTGCCCACCAGAATGTTAATTTATGTTCTAGTGCCCTTTGTTTATACTGTATAATATACCGTGTATATAATAATAAATGCCCGAATGTAATATATGAGTACAAAATAATATATACCTATAAATTAAACCTATTCTTATCCTTATTGATTAAAAAATATTATATTATATACAATTAGAAATCTTAACCTGTAACATATAATTATTTAACTAGTTTGTTTTATGTTTAACATATAGAACATAAAATGTTTCATATAAAAAGAGAATAGGGTGATAGAAAAATATTAAAATTTTTGACACATATTAATGTTTAGCTGTGGAAACTTTGAGTTATTAAAAAGTTTAAATTTTAAATATTTGTATTAACAATATTTAAATTTTATAAATTGATTTTTTAAAATAATCAATGTAAACATTAATTCAGGTATAAAATATTAAATAATTTTAAACACTTTCTTTAAATGTATAAGTTTTGTTATAAAACAACTTAACTGCAAAAGTTTATTGTAAGTTTATAGTGCATGTCTAATATAAATTACATTATACTATATAATTCGCAATATTATAACCCAAACACTTTATATACTGTACAATGAGTGAATATTTGAACAAAAACACAACATTCAAAACATTAATCAAAATTGTTTTATTTGTATTAAGTGTTAGACAAAAAAACACAAAATTATATTAAGTTATATTATTTATACACGAGAATTAATCACATGGTATTAATCCACAAACACTCTAACAAACTGCCATGCTTATTTAACCACTTTACATTCTGTAGCATTATTATTAACATTAGCACCAGCAGCATTATCACCATGATTAAACGGCACAGTATACGGACCGGGATATGGGTAATAAAAACTGTTATCAGGCTTATGCGGGCTATTCCGGTCGGTGCGATAAATGTGGGGCAATTGTGGCCCCGGTATGACATGCATGGCATATGAATTGGGAAACTTTACTAATGTCGTGGCCCTCATTGGAAACAGTATTCCTGGCCTCCGGACCCGGTATGCGATGAATAGGGCCACCAATAGTATGACGATTATAATGAGCATTATGTACGTGAATGCGTGACCAATGAGAAAGTATAGGCATATCAGTACCACAGATGTTATTACCACGAATAGACCTTGATGGAAAACGTAAATATAATTAGATTTTATGGTTTATTAATGTTTTAATATTTGTTAGTAAATTAATGATTAGTTTATTATAATGTTTGCCACTATTTTGCAATTATTCTGCTAATATAATTACAACCAATATGGTAAATGTTACATCTATTTAGTCTAGTTTTAAAATTAGATTATAGTTTACACATTACCATAATTGCCAATAATGGTTTATTTATTTATCATAATTGCTAAATCATAATTATTTAATTATTTATGACAATAATCAAATTTGCTAGCTAATAAATTATTAGTGATAATGGTAAAAAATCAAATATTAATGCACTCACATAGAGCGGTGGCAAATCTTTTATCGTAGGCACTGTACCGGATAGGCTCACCATCTATGCCATTAGCATCTGGGTATGGATCCGGTGTTAATGAATACACTACGTAACCTTGTTGCATTGTGGTGGTAGTGGTGGTCATGATTAAAACATATAGATTATATTTATACAGTATAAATATACTAGATAAATATCGGCTGAATAATGCACTCAATAATACGGTATTATTAGTACACCATATGATAGGTAGGAAAACCAATAGGCAAACAAAGAATATGGTAGATAATAATGCTAACAATGATAAATCTAATGTAAAATTCAACTAGGTTTTGTTTACACAGAATTTATTATTATTGTATTTTTATCATTATGCTTTGAGAAAACATAGCATGTACTGTAAACGTATGTCTATTGTCATAAATAATTAAATAATTATGGTTTAGCAATTATGATAAATAAATAAACCATTATTGGCAATTATGGTAATGTGTAAACTATAATCTAATTTTAAAACTAGACTAAATAG